CCTCATTGGCCTCAGCTCCACGATACCCAGGCACTGGACCTGATAAGCACCCCCCTCTGCTGCTCCTTTCCATGATATTTTTGGTCTACCCACTAACACTGAACAGCAATACCCCCTTCATACTCCCAAATTGTTCTTTGGCACTTGTTCCACTGCTCCAGTTATACAGCCTGCAGGGTTCTGCACAAAGTAATTGCTGTCTGTTTTCCATTTATGTGCCTTGTTGCAGGGCTTGCATGCCCTACTTATGTTATTTTTGTAACCTTTTATGTGAAAAAATGACAACCAAATAAAACCTTTGGCAAAGAATGTGTGACCGGTGACGTGGTCACACGTTTTAACGTAATCCCGCCCAGTTTTTCGGCAGTGGAATGTGTGACCGCCAATAGGTGAAGCATTCCAGCGCTTTCCCAGCTGTTCCAGGGCAGATCGGCATCGCAAATCGCATGTGCAGGAGAACCAATCTGCCCTGGAAAAGCTGATCGGTCCTGAAATGTCACTTCTCTCCGACTGCGATCTCACATTCCACCGCACTCACAAAGTTGGAAAGAAGTGACATTTCAGGACCGATCAGCTGTTTCAGGGCAGATCGGTTCTCCTGCACATGCGATTTGCGATGCCGATCTGCCCTGGAACACCAGAGAAAGCGTTGGAATGCTTCACCTATTCCACCGCCGAAAAACTGGGCGAGATTACGTGAAAATGTGTGACCACGTCACTGGTCACACATACTAACGTAGTCTCAAACTTTGATAGAACAGAGGCATGTCTGTAATAATTTATTCAGATAAATAGATTATAATAGGGAACATTACAGTGTAATATTTCCCATTATAATCCACTTGTCTAATTACATGAAATAGCAGTACACAACAGAGAAATAGATTATAATAGGGAACATTACAGTGTAATATTCCCCATTATAATCCACTTGTCTAATTACATGAAAAAGAGCAGTGAGGCCACCAGGCGGGAGAACATTCCCTCCAGCTCCGATTTAGTGGGTAACATAGAGAAATAGCGCTGGAACATGTCATCGTTCCGTAGCGAAGCGCTGTCGTCTCCCGTCATCGAGGAGTCTGAATCCGCCCGAGGTAACGGGTGCCCATAGAGGGGAAAATGAGGTACGAAAGAGTGTTCCTGGGGCTCGTTCCTGGGGATGTAGCCATGAGCAAGTCACGCCCCCCGCAACAGTCTGTTTTTAATGACTGGTGTTAAGGTTTTGTCGGCCTGTAAAATATTAGAATTAATCTGAGTCGCCCTACTTATTGCCTGGGACGCTGATGTGAAAGTCTGTACAAAGGGTGGCCTCTCCTGCTTGATGGTCGCAATCGTCTTTTATGCACGTATGCGCCCCCGACACATGTTTGCATGCGTGTATGTATGGGTGGGGACTTGCAAAAATGTTTTTGTTTTTTTATTCTTTTTTATGTGTAACTTTAAAAAAAGATTTTTTGGGGGGACATACATTTTTTTTCCACTAAACTTTATCGCTATCACATACGGGGGCTAATTAAACTCCCCTATGTGATAGCAAAATATGTGACAGGTCCTCTTTATGGAGACATCAGTGGTCTCCAAGACCCCTAATGTCACCTAGGACCCCCCAAAAGAAGCTGATGAAGCACAGATCTGCTCCATGAGCTTCTTTCCAGCTTCTGAAGCTGGAGAGTGACACAAAAATGCGGAAGTGATGTATTATACAACACTTCCGCATTCTTGCAGAGGAGAGGGGACCGGAGGGAGCTCGTGTACCGAGCTCCCTCTGATCCCCTGTGACACAGGCGACATGTTTGTATGGTAACAGGCATCGCTGCCTGTTTTTAAATAACGGCCATTTCCCGCGTGCGAGGGGGCGTGTCTGAGCAGACGTCTAAAGACGCCCGCTCAGATCTAGAGAGCTCCCGGCCGGCCATTTTTCTACTACGGCCGGCCCGGAGGCAGTTACATTTATCATGCATGCGTCCAATCTGTTGTGCACGCACGCTGTGGTCTGAGCAAATACACATGACCCTCAAAAATTGAGAGACCGGCAAATTGTCTCTCAAGTGTTGGGGGTGGGCACTATTAATGTGTAGGATTGTATTCCTATCTGTGGGTTTAGAGTATACAGATGTCAAAAACTTGTTAGTGACAAAACTCATAAATCCACAGTGGGCCGCATGAGTTACTCAGACGGCAGCTCTGGGATTATTTTTATCTTTATTCTCACACATATTAATTATCACTTTGGGTTTTCACTTATACGTCACTTATATTTGTTGCTCCATCCATAATTTTCCTGCCTAGCGGATTTTGCATACCCTGTACACAATGTTGTTTTCGTAATGCATTCATTTAATATGTACATGGAAAACTTTCAAATCTCAATAACACTCAGGGGGGCCCTGTCCGAGTGGGGCAGAGCAACCCTCTTTATATTATGGACATGTGCAAATTGTGCATATGCAGTTGCAATATAGGTGCATCGTTGATTGATATACTATTGCATTTCTGCCATAAGGCTTCATTATTGCCTGTTTTTGTTATAAGGTTTCACTATTGTTTTTTTCCATTTGGCACCTCCCAGAGTAATTATACACTTAACAGCCAGTGTTTGATCTATTTTTTATGATCAAACTGACTCTATGAATTGCTTACTATCACCCCAATGCTCAATGTATAATTCGCATTGTGAGCCCTTGGGCTACTGACCCATACTGTGCAGTGGGACAGCTGTCAGATCAGCGAGCAGACGAGACATCCCTGTACCCACACGGCGCATGCGCCAGTGGGCGGGACAAGCGGCCACGGCTCTGGATGTTAGGAGCCGCTGTATAGTGTCATGTTGCCGAGGCAACCAGCACCGCTTCGTTCCCGGTGCGCTCGCGACCCTGACACTTGACACCGCTTTGCACTTGGTCTTACCATCTCTAACCCAAACAATGTATTATAACACACTTATATGTGCTGTTGGGAGTAACTGATGGTTTAATAGATATGGCTGGTATTTACATCATTCTGCACACGTCCTTTTCAAATACTTAACGGTAGGTGTGATGTCATACCGACGCCCTAGGTGGATGGGAGTTGTTTCACAGCCCTCAGTTGATTGGTATGTCTAGGTATATACTGTTGTATGTCTTTCACTTCACTGTTATCTCTAAGCCTGATGAAGGGGACCCTGCGAGGCCCCGAAAGCGCTTGCCAATGAGATACAGCTATTGGCAATAAAATATTTTGCTTTTTCAACTTATGGTGTGCTTGTGAAATTTTTCTATTGTTCATGTGTGGCGGTGCCATCCGCAGTCATTTCGAGCACCCATCCTCATCAAGTGGGAATCCCGGTAAGGAGTGCAGTATGGTTCCTGTTTCTGAGGACTCAGACATACCCGCTCAAACTCCGTCAATGAGTTTAGGGGCACAGTGGCGCCTATAGAATGTGTGAGGAAATGGCGAATCCGCAAAGCTTTCCAGAAGGCCAAAGGCAGGGTAGTGCACAATTGGATGTCTCGAATGGTAGAAAGACCCATGGGGGACTGAAAATGATGGATTCTGTACCTGCCGGAAACAACCAAATCACTGAGGTCTCCATCCTGGGGTGACAGGGGCAATAAAGGATGTCCTATAATTGGTGTCATAAGTGAAGGATACGTGTCCGTTAGGACATGCAGACGGTCAAACTGAAATACAGCCAGCGTAGCACCAATAAGCGGATGGGAATGGGCCTGTGTCAAAGAATGCCTATCTAGCCATGGTAGCCCCCCAGGGGCATCCGAAGGCTGGACTGTTCCACTTGCAACCACCGCCTATCAGTGCCCCCCTTGCACCAGTCCAGAATCCTAGACATATGGACAGCCTTGTAGTATTTAAAGGGGTCAGGGAACCCGATGCCACCGCGATACTTCGGTCTCGACATGAGAAAATGGCTCAATCTATGGTATTTCTGTGCCCAGAGGAATTTCCCAAACTCCCCTCTAAGCGGTTTTAAGAAGCAGGCTGGAATGTGTATTGGTAAAGTTTGCAACAGATATAGGAGTCTCAGGAGAATATTCATTTTGAGAATATTGTTACTACCGAACCACGTGAAGACTTCCGACGACCACTGCTGCAAGTCCTGTCTAACTTTTGCAAGGAAAGGGGGGAAATTGGTTCGGAATATACCCTCCACTGATGGTGACAGGTAGATCCTCAAGTATTTAATGCGGTGTTGGGCCCAGTGAAAGGGAAAATGAGGTGCGACTGCCTCCAACGTGGTGTTTGGGAGATTCAAGTTTAACGCCTCGGATTTTTGCAAGTTGGAGAAGTATTTATAGTGGCTCAGTTCAGCTAATAGATTCGGCAGGGAAGTAATAGGCTTGGTTACAAAAAATAAACGATCGTCTGCATAGCCTGCCACTTTATGTTCAGAGTTACGTGATGTCAGACCTGCAATACATGAATTAGCCCTAACATGGCAAAGGAATGGCTCTATCATGGATATTTTGGTTGGACTTTGCGCAGGAATCTCCGGTGCACTAAAAGGTACACGTTCGGTATTAAAATGCGCCCAGCGCAAACAATCCGGTTGCTGTTAAAAGCACGCTGCATTCAGTTCTTTCTGTATCAGGGATGAAGTACTTCTTTAGCACCAGAGAGAGTCAGACACGATGCTGGTTCAAGCTGGAGTCCAAGTAGAAAGGGCTGAGCCGACCCCAACTCCTTCATTTTATTAAGGCAAAAGGACGACACCCAGTGGGAGACGGCTTTACAACATTAGCCAGTCAGCCCAGAAATACAGGTACATATCAAAAGGAAAGGGGACTACACCAAGATGGCTGAACAGGGAAATGCACACACCTCATCCCTGTAACAAGGAAGGATGAGTCATGTCCCTTGTCCCGACCGGCCATGTGGTTGCCCATCCCCCATTATCGTCAGCATGGACCCTACTCAATACTGCTCAGAGTGACCAGGATCTAGTACAATCATTCTACTTGTTCTTATAGGTTTGAGACTATCTGAAGAGACATTGCTAGGCAGATTATGTCTTCTTATAAAAACAGATATGTATCCAAAAGGGATAGCGCAGTCCGCAATAGAGGTATAATACGCATCTCGTTATACGGACTCCGCTTCACTAATGTGTACAGAAGTTTGAAGGTAAGGAGCCCAGCGCATTGCACTTAGTACTCACAAACCGACAAACGCCTCCACACACTGTGAAGACGTCTCCAAGCCCATGAGAAGGTTTTCATACTGACGGTTTTACCGCTGGTCCCGATTCAACCCAAGTACCCTCTGCTAGAGCGTTCCTCAGTTAAATCCGACACAGGGAGGCAGATGACAATACCTAAAACACACACATCCTAGAATAAAATGTCCACCTAATTCCGTATAATAAAATTTCCACAACAGTCCCTCCTCTTTGCCATATGCTCCCCAGTGTCCCTTAATGAATCTCGATCTTCCTCGTTGAAATTAGAAAAAAACAGTCCCTCTTGTATAAGAAAAGTGGTTTGTGTCCTGAATCCATAAAACGGAAAGTCAATCTTGACACGCAGACTTTTGGCAAAGCAAATTAATCTTGAAGACGAATCTTGACTCGGAGGTTCTGCTCTTTGGGAGGTGACTCAGAGGAGGTGGTGGGTCGCGCTGGTCGCCGGTCGGTTTGGAATCCTCTGCATCTGGTCCATGGGTTGGTCTTCCGTGCGTCTCGTTTCAGCAACGAAAATGTAGTCGTCTGCTCGGGCTTTGGTAACTCGGTCGATTAGGCAACAGGAACATTTCACTCCGGCGTATAGAAGAAATAGAAACAAAAACACCATAAGTATATATACTCCTATTTCCTTGAGCCAGGATCCAATGGAAAACAAGAAATCTCCAAAGCTTCCCAGACCATTAAAAGGATTCCAACCCTCACTAGCTATAGCTCTGGCTCTGCCCTGCAAGGAGCTAACCTTATCCATATGGGCTTTGACCATGTCACTGGTGTCCGCTATCCAAGTACAACAGTCCTCACCTATAAATTCACAGAAACCCCCCTTGGACGCTTAAAGATAATCAAGAGCCATCTTTTTCTGCAATACCAGAGTCTTCATCTGTCGTTGTTCCTGGGTGAGCTCTCTGACAGCTTCTTCGGTTTCATTGAAAATCTCGTCTACAATAGAGGAGAAATTGTTCAATCGCTTCATAAGCTCGATCCCCCATGCAGTCCAAGCGGGGAACCATGCCCAAGCCTGATCGTGGCTAGAGAATAGTTCCCTACGAGCTCTCCCGGACATCTTTACCTTCTTACGCACCATCAGGTCCTCTCGATCGGCTGCAACGTAAGATACCGGAACAAGCTTCACTAAAGCACATGAACCTCTTGCGTTAGGGGGAATTAACTTATAAGCGGCGGGAACCGCACAGGAAATAATATGGGCCTGTCCGAATTTCTCTGACGGTCTCGGGCACCAAGTAATAACATGATAGACTGGGGATTGCCCCTGCAGTCTGAACATCGCATCCTTCTTTCCAACAGATATAATCTGGTCTATGAATGTTACTAAAGAGATCGGGGGTTTCATTAGTAAGGTTGACTGTTATACCTTTCTCACACCTGGAGGATCCCACAAATCTATCCCCTTTACCGAAGCTTATGTTGAAGCATCCCTGCGGGCCACCTAACTGCCCAGACACCCATACAGGATTGGCAAGTGAGGCGCAGGAGCCAGAGCTAATATTAAAACTATAACTGATTTTACCCTCTAGGAAAGTATCGTTAAATTCTATTGACAAGTGTCTCTGAGTGGTCTTGGCTAATTTCTCGTACTTCTTCATGCCGGTATGAACATTGTATATTGCATGAACGGCTGCCATTGCTGGGGTATAATGGCTGGGGGGAGATTTAGAGCACACCCAGCAATTGGTCCTTTTCGCTGCCTTAGCTAGTTGGAGGTGCATTTTAAACAAAAGGTTGGGATGCTTTTCATTGTTTCCCTCGCTAAAATAAACTAAGCTAAACAAGTAAATGACGATGATACTTCTCATTCTTTGACGTAGTTAAGCAACTTCTTGCAGTGACTGGCGTGGACCCAGTTGTCTCGTCCTTCGAGCTTCAGAGAGGTTGGCGTAGTCAGCTGCACCTGGAATGGCCCAAGATATCTCGGCTCTAGTCCTGTCCTCTGATGTTTCTTTAGCACGACCCAATCACCTGGTTGAATAGAATGAACCCTGGTTATTGAGTCTGGGTCCGGGAGAGACTCCCGAACCCGGTGGGGGACTCTTTGGAGTTCCCTCTGCAGAGACTGCACGTACCCAGTCATCTGAGAATGTAAAGATGACAGCTGTTGAGGGTAGTACAATCCCGTCTTTGGAGGACTACCAAACAGAACTTCATAGGGTGATAACCCATGGGGCTGCCTTGGGGCATTCCTGATGGAATAAAGGGCTATAGCGAGACATTCAGGCCATGGTTTTCTAGTATCGGCCATGATTTTGGAGATCCTGTTCTTAATGACCCCATTAAGACGTTCAACCTTACCACTGCTCTGAGGATGATACGGGGTATGTAATCCCTGGTTGACGTGTAGAGCTTTACATACCTCTGCAAAAATCTGACGGGTGAAGTGAGAGCCGCGATCCGACTCGATCGTTTCAGGCAGGCCCCAGCGACACACTATCTCAGACAGGACCTTCTTTGCTGTGGTAGTGGCATTGGCGCATCGAACGGGCCATGCTTCTGGCCATCCGGAAAACATATCCACACAGACCAAGGCATGCGCGTACGGCCCACTCCTTGGCAACGTAATGTAGTCTATGCGCTGAAAGGGATATTCCGGTTTGGGCGAATGCCGTTCCGGCTGTTTCACAGTTCTGCCAGGGTTGTGCAAAGCACAGACCAGGCACGAAAGTTGCGAAATTGGATGCTGCAGTAGTGAACCCAGGAGCAATCCAGTGCTCTTCCACCTGTGCACACATAACCATCTTTGACTGATGTCCTGGATAATGACTCGAACGGGCCATCATTGAAAAAAGTGATCTTGGCAGACACCATTTGTTGCCCAGACCCCAAATGTCATCTGGACCCTGTGTAGCCCCCAGTGCTGTCCACTTCCTCTTCTCCTGCATCTCTGCCTGTCTTTGCAGTTTCTTAAACTCTTCCAGAGATGCATCAGAAGGGATGGCCATCATCAAGGTTTCTACAGAGGGGCTCAGAGCACCTTCCTTGGCAGCTCTATCTGCCAAAGCGTTCCCATCGGCCTCCAGGGTCCTATCAGTCGTGTGTGCCTTCACTTTCAGAATGGCTATTTCGTGTGGCAGGCTGAAGGCAACGAACAGCCTATCGATCAACACCGCATGTTTCACCGGCTTCCCCGAACTAGTCAAAAACCCTCTAGCTTTCCAGATTGGACCAAAGTCATGTGCTATCCCAAAAGCATACCTAGAGTCTGTATAGACGTTAATCCACTGGTCCTTGTGGATCTCACAAGCCCTTGCTAGTGCCCACAGCTCAGCCTCCTGTGCTGACATGTGCGAGTTCAAAGATCCTTTCTCCACAACCTCACTGACTGTAGTTACAGCATACCCAGTGTGTGGTTTACCATCTGGGGTGCAATACCTGGAACCATCGACAAAAAGGTTTTTGGCCTCTGGGATGGGAGTCTCCGTCACCGGACTGATGGCTGTTGACTCAAGTTCCATCAAAGAAAAGCAGTCGTGGTCGTCCTCAAAGTGATTACCTACTAGGTTGGAAAATTGATTAGAAGTTGAGAGGTTAGAATGGTTAGTAAAAGTTGGAAAATTGTCATTTATCACACCATTATCTCCCCCCTTCTCTTCCTCCTTAATAACAGGAGGAAGAGACGCTGGGTTCTAAATGGTGCATCGTCTTAGTGTCAGGTTAGTAGGTGTTAGGAGAGCCACTTCGTACCTAGTCAACCTGGCAGCCGAGAGGTGTTTTGTCTGGGTCTGATTTAGGATCTCCTGCACTCAATGGGGAGTATAGAGGGTCAATGGGGAGTCCAAGACTATGTCACCTACCTTCTGTAATAGTACAGCGCAGGCGGCCACGGCTCGTACACATCCCGGTGAGCCTCGGATGACCGGATTTAGGGCAGTCAATAGGTACATGATGGGTCGGTACCTGGACCCGTGTAGTTGGGTCAGTACTCCAGTTGCATGGCCCTGGTTTTCATGGCAAAAGAGATAGAAGGAGAGGTCATAGTTGGGCAGACCTAAAGCAGATGCTTTGGTGAGTTTCTGGGTCAAATCCTGTAGGATTGACCAATTATCGTCTGACAGTTGAAAGGGTGTTTTTGATGTCAGCTCGTAGAGGGGTCCCAATTTGGATGAGATGTTAGGGATCCAATCTCTGCAGTATATCCAGCTCCAGGAAATCATCGTACATAAGCGTTCATCAGACAATGCACTGCTGACCACAATACCCGTTGGAGTGTACTTGATGACTGCCTGTATTTCTGATAAAATATCAGCTCCTAACAAATTAATGGGAACATCATCCGATACCAGTACAGACCTGATGGCTTCCGTGTGCTGCCCTAACCTGCAATGGAGTGGTTTGGTGGTCTGTAGAGACACTGTCTGACCTGTGAGACCCACAGTGGGTGTAGTCTCCCCAGAGAGGGGAACCTTGCCTCTGAGATCTTTGGATCTCAGAACCGTTCGGGCTGCACCAGTGTCAATGAGGCAAGGGAGGGGATATTTTAATTCCTCGATAAACAGGTTGAAATGGCTTGACACCGGTTTGCCAACGTCCTATGAAGAATCATAGCCTTGGCTGGCCATCCCTAAAACAGAAGTTGTTGTGTCGTCCGGAATGAACTGCCACTTACCCTTGGGTCTGTTAGGACAGTCATGCTTTAGATGTCCTTCCTTTCTGCAGATGTAACAAGTCCGGGTTTTCCAGCGTTGTGTCTTTTTGCAATGATCTTGACCCGTTTGTTCTGCAAGAGGGGCTTGAGACACAAGGACTTTGGATGTTTTATCCTGTTTCTTCCTATCCACCTCTCTCTCTATAGCGGAGAGAGTGGATAGAATGGCAGGTATTGTCATTTCATTAAATTCGGGTCTGGCTAGTAATAACCGGTCTCGAATTTTCGTATGGATGCCTTCTAAAAATTTGGCTCTTAGTAAAAGGTGAATAGCGGTTAACTTACCTCCCTCGGTGGGCACATCAGGGCCAACCTACATATCGGCATCCAATGCAGCTTGTTCCAGGCGACGTCAGAAACAAGCGCATTCCTCCCCAGGATTTTGACTGAGTTTCATCACATCCGTGGTAGAGGATGCACCATACATCTCTGGAAGTTTGGCTAGCAGGGCAACACAAAATTCTTTACCTCCAGAAGTGGCCTGTTCGTGTGTGACAATGTTGCACCTGGAGATTATAACCCCTGCCAGTTCCTCTCCTACTTTTGCCCTCAGAACCTGGGCACAATCTGTTCCGCTCATGCCGTAACTAAATTGATTTTGACAAAACATTCTCGCGAACCCTCGCGGACTCAATCTATAGTCAGGTAGTTCGGCCAGGATAGTTCTGCCTCATTTCCGAGGAAGCAAAAGGGACATGCCATAACACCCTCTCTCCTAAAGTCCTTTCGCCATTGGCATTGGGAACACCCTCGTGTTGTTGCACCCAGACTGGATAAGTATCAGGTTCAGAGACCTGCGTAGGGCCAGGTGTATACCTTGGAGGCTGTGGCTTCATTGGTGGGCTAATGTGTACTACCTCGCCCACAACGTTCCCTGTCTGGAAGCCATCTAATGAAGGGTAGATGGTAAGCATGACTGAATCAAAAGCTCTCAGCGCAGCTATGCAATCCCCACGGTTCCTTATTCTGGTTTCAATTCCCTTAGACTCACATAACATCTGCAGATCATTTGTTGAAAATTATTCGTAATTAACCGTAATCGGTGGAGAAAACGCCCCAGATGTGGCAGAGGGAGATTGATAGAGAGGGTTAGGTTGAGGTTTAGCGTCAAAGGTGACGCGGTTAGGTGGAGATTTGGGAGAGAGAGAAGTGGTAGCTGGAGAGAGTAGAGTAGAGTTGCAGAGGCGGCTCTTTAAGTAGGCAAATTAGGCGGTCGCCTTAGGCCTCGCGCTCCCGAGGGCCTCGCGGCCGCCTAGTTTGCCCTGTCAGGACGGCAGCCAGGTAGCGTTGTCGCTCAGCTCTCATCCACGTAGCTATCAAACTGAGACTCTCAGTTTTACAGTGACAGGGCTGAGAGCTCATCCGTTACCTCAATCGTTGGTGCGGATCATCGTAACCCCACAGATCGCTGGTCTGTGGGGTCTCACAAGCGGTCTAACCAGGCTGGTGAGACCCCACAGAACCCTGCTACCCTGGTGAGGACCCCTCAGAGCCCTGGTGAGACCCCACAGATCCCTGGTTGAGGAAACTACATCAGATCCAGTATTGGTGAATCCAGCCTGCCTCAGCAGAGTTAGCCCAGAAAGAGCCTCTTCCGCTTCCAGCATTGGATCACCAATGTCAGCTATCCCGTCGGGCCAGGTGTACATAATGCCGTTCTTCCGGACTGAAACCGCCTTCTGTATGCCTTGCCCATTTACCATTATAGACTTCTGAAGCCATAACTGAGCTACATCTAGGGCCTTTGCTGCCCAGAGCCCAGGTTTAAACTCAGTTATGAATTTCTCCCACCTCCAGGCGTCAAACGTCCCCTCCAGAGGGATACCCCACGCGGTACCCTCGGACCACTTATGCCATTCTTTAAGGGGTTTAATGGCCTTTGCCCCAAAACTGGACTTCATGTACTGTGCTGCCGTCTGACTGTGGGAAGCCTCACTTTCCTTCCCTTGCATGGACGGCCCATTGCCCATGGCGATGAATCGACTCTAGTCTTATCCCTGCGTCCAGGAAAACCCGTGCACCAATTTAGGAGAGCACCGCCCGGTGCCTTTTTCTGCGGTGAATTGGCGGACTACAACTACTATACTATAGTCCCCCAACTAGAAACCCTACCCGAGGCGATGTGTAACTCTATGGCTTGTTGTCCCAACACGGTTGGCACAGAACTACGGAGTAAAACCCGTAATAACAACTATGTCAAACGATTAGTAAGAAACCACAGATCACCCCCCGAATTATGTCTCTACCCCTCACAGTGTATACATACAACACTGCGTCGCCAGACTAAACTGCACAGCACACTTACGCCCGCTTTCTCTACAGATTCTCTCACTACAGTTGTTAATAGGGATAGCCTTCTGCTGTCTATTTCAGTAGTCACACGATAAAACTAATAGTCTGGGTGTAAACAAAAAAATTGACTACTCTCTGCGCAAAGCAACTCTAAACAATAAGGTGAATATAAAACGAGTTTTATAACCAAATCCTTTCTTTTATACCGCAAGCTATGCTACACAATATAAAATGCAGCTAATGCTAAAAAACAAAACAATGGGGGAGGGGGCATGAGTTGCCCTCTGAGAAACTCAAAGAAAACGCCCAAACAATGAAAATAAAACACCACTAAAAGTACAAAAAACTCACAGTTAGTCTATCTATTGGAATTCAGTACAAAATAAAGATTTCACTTAAAACCGAAATTCAATACAAAAACCGCAAAAATACAT